TGGAATAATGTTGGCTAGCTTCCAGTCAGTGGGCATGTCCCCAGACTCCCAAGGCCTTTGGTAGGTGTTTGAGAGGAGTCTTGCTGTAACATCTGCTGGTATGTTACAGGTGACATTGCTACTGCCCTGTATATGATGGGCACACGGTATTTGTCAGAATATTTAGTGAGCCTCTTAAATGTGGAACGCCCATGTTGAAGTTCATCACAAGCTAATTTCTTGTAGTATTTTTCTTTTTTCTTTTTTCTTGTTTTTTTTTTTTTTTTAAAAAAATCAGAGTGTAACATGTTAAATTTGCAGCTAAAAGTACAGCTGTTCCACTTCATCAGTTTATAATGATTCATAGAAATGTGAGGTGTATTATAGATTAAGACTGGAAGAAATTTTCTTATATTTTTACTTCATGTGTGTCACAAGGTAAATTGACTTGTTAAAGTCTTGTGTGAAGTAATAAATTAAAAATAAACCCAATAGATGTCCTTATTTATTTGGGACAGAGTGGTAAGCTGCACTTCGTTGCTTGTTTGAGTTTGTCTGCCTTTAGTGGTCCTTGCCAACTAATTTAAGGGGATGTGCTAATCAGAGGTCCTGTCTGCGTAGTTACTTATAAAGTCTTCCCTCCTTTTCATCAAATTCTTAAATATCTTGGAAAAAGGTGTATGTTCCAAAGTCAGCCTTATTCTAATAGTTCTTTTTGACAACCTTTTTTCATAAAACCTTTATGATAAGAGAATCATAACAAGATGATTACCTCACTAATACTGTACATATAAACAAATAATGCCGTTTTCTTATTCTTATGTGATAGTCCTCTCTTTATGTCACATGCTACTGTGAAAGTAGCACAAATATAGTATTAAGAAAGGTACGGGCCTACTGAAACAAAAAAGGTGTGCAGTCCAATTTCCACTATATTGCTGAAATTTGTTGAATTGAAGGAAGGCTTTCTTGAAAGATCCAGTCGTCTTTCTCTGCAGAGCAGCTTAAGCAGTGATGGAGCTCAAGAATTCATCAGGAGATTTGCTTCATATTCTCTTCCTCTCCCCTTGGAGTTTGAGCTTTTGAGTCTGGTGGGAGGAGTGGGGAAGAAAAGTGTATGAGTGGTTTCTAATACCTTCTTTTAAGAAGGATTACTGGTAAAGCAGAGAGCTGTCTGTCTCCAGGTACTGCCCTGTTACCCCCAGTGATCTTTTAATTATTACAAAACTCTGTTTTGACTGTCCAGCTTAAGGTGTTTTGTAACTGATTAAGAATTTCTTGCCATACCTCTGACATATTTGATTATATTTGTGTAGTATGTAAGTTCTGTAGATGAAAGATTAGAATGTGACTGTGTTTTAACATTTAATAGCTCTAGTTAGGATGTGGAATGAGACTTGTAACCTGCATTCCTGTTCTTAGCATTCTTGCCATGTCATTTCATAGAGGTTTTATCATTTGTCCTTTGTGATAGAAATAAAGAGGATCATATCTCAGAATAGTGATTTAGAATTGTACTCTGGTTTATATTGTCACACTTGTAAATAAGGTAATGAAAAATCTAGTGACGTAGGTATTTCTGGATAATCTCAGGCCATCCAAAATATTTGCATTTGTTTCAGGAAGTTTAATAAAAGCAACACAAAACTTCTGATTTAGAGTGGATTTCACAAACACAAACTTCCCTGGCTGAAGAGGTTAATTCTGTGAATGTCAGTTAACCATACAGACCATCTGTTGAAGTGCCAAGTAAGAGTGTCTGAATTCTTTAGGAAAAACCCTGATGTGAAAGAGGCTTGTGTTGAGTCACCAGCTGTATTTTGGGATGAACAATTTTCACATCTTTACTTTTGTATGGGGAAACGCAGCATTTGGAGCCAGTGATGTGTGTTTGGGGATAAATAATTTTTCATAGGTTAGTAATTACTGTGAATTTGATTCCTGTTTCTTTTGTAGTGTTTGATAGCTACGTAGATGTGATTCTCAGTGTTAGCATTACAATACTTACCCTGATTTTTCTGACTAAAGCTACTGTCTCCTGATCCATAGGGATTGTAGGAATATTTTTTTCTATTTAGTGTCTGAAAAGAGCTGAAATGCCTTCTAAATTTTTTTTTGTATCAGATCTTTGTGGAATTCGATGGCTGTAACTGGAAGCAACATGCCTGGGTGAAAGTCCATGCTGAAGAAGTTATAGTGTTGTTGCTGGAAGGATCATTGGTTTGGGCACCTCGAAATGATCCAGTTATGCTTCAGGGAACTCGAGTCTCACTGGCACAGTGGCCTGCACTGGTGAGTATTTGGCCAAAAGCTCTCATGTCCTCAGAGGTTTGCATCAACTCTACTGTGAAACCCAAGGCTTGGATATCATACAGGGCGCCATTTTGCAGGTACCAAAATTACTTGGGGATGGATTTTTAAAAAAATGATAAATAGGAGAGCACTTAACTGGGAATTATAGTGCCTTTTGGAAAGGCATCTGAGAAGCAGTATGCTTCCAGTTCCTGACCCAGAAATTGAAAGATGTTACCTCAAAGAAACGAGATACTGTTTACCAGGGTGTCTCAGAAGAAATGTGGTACGTATCTGAAAAGATTATTTTTCCATGTTTTAGAACTTTCAGTGTGTTAGGCTTTTCTGAATTGTGAGAATAAGCCGTTCGTTCTTACTATGGACTCTCTAGAGCTCTGTATGGTAAAGGTTGCTGCATCATTTTAATAGGTATTCCTGAAGGCACTTTGGAGAAGAGAATAGACTATGGTGGGCTTTGCCTGACCTATAAACCATAAGTTGGCTACTCCTAATCTAAACTAAAAATTTGATTTCAGTGTTGTTGTCAACATTAACTAAAATGACATGCAAAATTTTCTCTGCTTTCTTGAAGTGGTTATCCTTATTGCTGTTAACATGGCAGTTACATGTCATGACACTTGAGACCAAAGCCAATATGTTTTAGCTAGCATATCTCAGTACACCTGTTTGGCAAACATCCTCATGAGTATATATAGTGAAGAGCATTCCTTACATCCTTCCTTCTTCTCTTAGTGGCTTCTGAAGAGGAAAGATCATTATATGTGAGAATCCTATGCTCATTTTCATGTTGTCTAATTTTTATTTTTTTGCCCTTCTTTTGCTTCTTTTCTCCTCCTGCAGTCCTTTGGCTGCTTGGGATCCTACTCTCTGCTTCTTAATGCTACATTTTGTGCATGAGCACATTGAAATGTTTTTTCCAGTCAACAACCTTGTGTCTTGGTAGAATTTGAATTTTTTTTTTTTTTTTTAAATGGACCCTTGGGCTCAAAGCAACAGGTTCAGCGCTGCATCTTTCTCTGAGGGTTTCTTTTTTGCATTTGTTTTAAGGCAGAATAAAACCAGGCCTTTACAGCAGAGATTGTGCGTATAGTGGTTTTTTCCATAGGTGGAGTTTCTTTTCAGTGTTTTTCCAACTTGTCTTCAAGAGTGAACTCCAGTGTAATTTCATCTGGGAAACTATGTTTAAACAGGATCAATTTCTTTGAGATGATTCCCAAGTATCTTTATCAGAGTGATTTGAGGGTGTTACCAGAGTCTGCGCACTGATTGTGTAGTGAGTTGTGTCAGAACCTCTTAGAAGGCTGTTAGAAGCAAATATGGGTCCACTAAGATCCCAGAATATTTCCACTGTAACTCAAACTATATCTGCAGACTTGCTGAAAAAGTGTTTCCATCCCCTATACTCTGGACAGCCACGTGAGCACTCAAGCTTTCGCGAAATAGTAGAAGCCTATGCAAATAACTGCATGGGAATGCAGACTGGAGTTAGCCAAAGCACCAGAGTGCATATGTGCAATGTAGACAATTCCGGGAAGCCAACTACATAGCATTACAAAGTGGGTGGTATTTTTTTGGAGTGGGGTGGTGGTGGTTTTGGGTTTGGTTTTTTTTTTTTGAGATATACATTCATAAGTGATGTATTCATCCTTCTTTGTCTCTTTCTTGTAGTCCTGTTCACTTCTAGGAAATAGTTTTACATAAACTGCAAAAATTAGTGTTATATTCATACTGTTGTGTACAGGAGAATGGAGTGTGAACAAACTTGATGAGAGCTCTTAAGGGAAAAATGTCATGAATACTTGTGTGTTAAAATCACATGAGTGTGAGACAGATAATGTGTTTCAAAGACTTCAGTGGTTGGCAACTTCCTCTTCCATCAGCAAGTTGACATTATAGGGTTATCATTCTGATTCTGTGAGGTATTTTTAGTGATTTATCCTGCAGCTTGAATATCAATAGCACACCTGTTACGAAATTCAGTTTTGCACAAAACACTAGCAAAAAAAAGCTCTCCTTTAATATTATGTGTGTAAATGAGTTATACCTGACTTCCATATAGGAATAAAAATGCTCCTTTCAGAAGGCTATTCCTGAAATATATAGGATAGTTTGAACCATTAATCAAAGCTTTTTTTTTGACGTGAGCATCAGAAGGTGCTTTCCTGTGAAAAAACAAATACCACAAAAGATGTTTTCAGTTCTGCTTTAAGTTCCAATGAAGAAGTGGAGCCAATTTTCCGTAATTCCTTCTTGTAATATGCCACACTTGCAAGAATTATTGGCTTAGACATAATGAGTAATAATTTGCATTAAAACTCAGGGTGGTGCCAGTTGAGAAATTAATCTTTTTATTCTTTGTGATAATTAAATAGCATGTGAAAGCAACTATTGTTTGTGTGTATGTGTTCTCAGTCATTTTTATAACCTTTGTTTTTTGTTGTTCATCAGACCTTCACTCCTCTAGTAGATAAGCTGGGATTAGGCTCTGTGGTCCCAGTGGAGTTTCTTCTGGACAGACATTTACGTTTCCTGTCTGATGCCAGTGGATTACGTTTGTTTCAGGTATTTGAACTGTGTTCAGTTAAAGTGCAAATTTAACTTTGTGCTGTGCTTGTTAGATTTTTATTTTTTTTTAAACTGTTCCACTTATATTCTTGTCTTCCTCCTTTCACTGCCCCGTCATGTATTTGCATTTGTTTCCCTGCTTTTCCAGCTGCTTATGCTAACCTCCATCTGCATTTGAAAAGTCCTAGTTCCTCTCTATATTGGTCAGTGTGAGAGCTAGCTGTCAAGCATCCCGTAGCTGATAATTGCAATGGCAGTTTTGCAACAGCTTTTGCATAGCTAGTCCTTTTTTTTTCTCCTGGAATGTTCAGCAGTATTTTTCGTAATTTTACTTTTTTTTTTTTGGTTTGTCAGTCTCTGGGAGTGGTCCAAGAAGAGCTATCTCTTAAAAACTAATGACTTTATTACCTTAAAAGACTATACTTTTGTGTTAAAACTGTTTGTTGTTAGCAGATGGGAACAGAGAATCAAAATCAGATTCTGCAGGAACAGCCTTCACTAAGAGAATCTGTCAATGCATTGATCAGTGACCAGAAGCTTCAGGAGATATTTAGTAGAGGTGAGACTATGTTTTTCTATCTCGGAGCTACTTTTTTGTGGAACAGTTAGGCTATGGTGGGATTTGTGAAGGAGGACAGTAATAGTATCTATTACTGTTTGGTTTGGAAGGTCAATTTTCTGTATTGTTTTGCAAGTTTGTTACAAAGAAGTGTTGTTTTGTCACGGATACAGTAAGCAGTTTCTGAGATCCAACCAGAAATACCTACTGGGAGTGATCACTGAAGATGTGGTTAAAGTAGGACAACATATTATTGATAATGTCCATGTATTTACAACTTCCCTTATTTTAAGTTTTAGTTTTGAATTTTTAAAGTTTTAGTCCTGTTCTATGGTTCTGTTCTATAATTCTGGAAATTTAGAAGTGAAGTGACTCTGTAGTTGTTGATCTTTAAAAAAATTATTTTGTTATGTCAAATTCAAATTTTGGCATTTTGATAATTAATATATGAATTGTTTAAGTTGAAAGTCTGGCCATGGCTGCTCAGCATAGAGTTAATACCTTAACTGTTGTCTGGATTGTGTATTGGGGTTAAGCCTGATTGCAGCTTTTGTTGTCAGATTGGGGTCTTCTAGCTCAAGTGCTAAAACGATTTTCTATCCAGAGTTTGGGTTCATGGGCCAGGTGACCACCCTAGAGGTAGGCCACTATTACATTTGAAGGACAATGTAGTTCTTAATGGGGATTTGATGCCTTTTGGTTAAATTAAAATGTTTATTGATAAAAATACTGTGAGGACGATATCTCTTACATAAGCAAGTAGTTTCAGAATTGTCCAGTTTGCAGCCTTCTTCTGAAGTGCCTAGTTCTGGTTATATCAGATATAGGCTGTTGGATCATGTGGATTTTGATGATCTAATATTAACAAAGTTTTTTTTGTCTGGACTTAGGGTAGGAGGAAAGCTCTGCATGCTGATATGGAGAGTGAGGGCAGGGTCGGAGGAAACCTTTCTGTAGGTGATCCGTTCGTTACCTGTGTCAAAGAACTAAGACTGGTTGGTTTAGAGACATTGGATATTTGTGCAATTATATTAAATTTTCCACAGTTACAAATATATGTTTCTGTTCTGAACTGCATGCAGTTTTTACTGGGACTTGATGCATCTGGACTGAGTCATAATGCTATGACTCTCCATTGGATTGATGCTTCATAATTACTGACCTGTAGGTTAGAAAGCAAAAGAGTTTAGTTAGCAAGGAACCCCCGCCTAGCTTGATTTTTGTCAAAGGAGTGAGTTTATTTTGATCTTTCGCGGTTTTTTTTTTTTTTGCTTGTAAACTGTTTTAATTTTGTCTTTACAATAGCTTTGACTTGGAGCAATGAGGGCTTATTGGCTTTTTACAATAGAATGCTTGGGTTGTACAGGATTTGCAGCAGAAGCCCTAGTGTTTTAATTTCTTTCCACCTGAAAGATGACACTTCAAGCCCTAATTATATGCACATAACACTTATGACTCTTAACTAGTTATGACACAAAGTTTGTCTGGAAAATGTACTGAAAGTCCTTCTTTTCCAGGTCCTTACAGTGTCCAAGGCCAAAGAGTTAAGGTTTACCAACCAGAGGATGAAAATAGCTGGCTTTGTGGTGTTGTGAGCCATCAAGACCCGATAACCCGGCTTATGGAGGTGTCTGTGACTGAGGTAAAAATATGAAGCACTGCTTTGGTGTTACTAAAATACCATTCCTCAATATCTCATGGAGAATGACAGCTTCACCAAAACTTGTACTTTTGGTTGTTTGTTATTTGCTTTAAAAGATGAGTAATTATCCATGTTGCGATTTGCAGGTTTTTTTTGGTTTTTTTTCTGTTATGGTGACTTTCCACAATAAATGATGATACACGGCCCACTTCTATAAAAGAAGCTATAAGAATTTCTTTGGAAATGAGTACTATATGAAAAAATGTTGGAAGTGGCTTTCTGGATGGGAGAGCATGCTGATGTACAGAAAGCTACCTTCTGGGTCTGTTATGCTGTGGTCTTCCTATACCTACTCTCAGCTCCTATCTGACAGGCTGTGCAAGTGGTTTGAAACAAGTGTAGCACAGAAGATGAAGACTTAGTCTAAACAAAATTGATGTATTGTAGCTTAGACTGTCTACTTTTGCCCTGTTCCTATCAGTAAACCTAGTAAGTATTGTAAACAGCATGGAAAAATCTGTATACTGATAGAGTTATCTGGTTTGTATTATATGCGTCTGTGCAGTCTGACAGGTAGTTCAGTATTCCCAGCAACCTGCTCCTTATGGCTTCCTTTTTCAGGAGCAACTAGGAACAGGTCTGTGGTGCTCTGTGTAAGTTACTGTAGCAGCAGCGCTCTTCCCTTTTTTTTGGGTCCCGTCCCATGTCCTGTGCCTCCCACCCCTGTAGCCTTTTCCGTGTGCAGAATGAATGCACTGAATGTGCCCAGTAAGTCCTGTGTACACATGCAGTAATCTTGCACTCTGACTACTAGATCAATTGCTGGTGCACAGGAAAAAAGTATACTATGTATGGTAAAAAGTATAGTATTTTGGAGAGGCATTGAAATTGTGGAGTATATGCTTTCAGCAGATACACAGTAAATTGGGTGCTTCCTGGGATGAAAAAGGTAACCTCCAAGCACAGTTAAAGAGATTATTGGGTATTCATTGCTCCTTTTGGGGAGACACTGATGAGTATAGTTAGCATAAATTGATGTGCTTCCTTCTGCTGGTCTTTTCTGCATCTAGCAGAGTGAATGTGCAGAAGGCTAGAACAGTACTAAATCAAATTGAAGAAGAGCTGTGTTTTAATGCAATGAATGCCTCTGGAGATGCTCAGTAGAACAAATATATAAGAAAACAGTGGTAGGAATCAAATCTGAAAGTTTTTGAAATAGAGAAGGAGCAAAAGGATAGAAGGTCAACTGGAAGACTGTTGTATTACTAAGGGAGTGGGGCAGAAAGAAAAGGCAAATGGGAGAGGGGCTGCAGAGTAACCTTGTGTTTAAGGTCTCTTGTGTTAATACTATATACTCTGATTTAAAAACTAACCTCCTCTTTTCTTCCTCCTACCTCCTCAATATCAATCTGCATATAAATTAGAGTGGTGAAATAAAGTCAGTGGATCCTCGACTGGTTCATGTGGTGATGGATAACGCTTCTCCAAGTGAGGTACTACAACAGTTCAAGTCTTGTATATACAGTATGAAACTTCATAAAGATTTAGATATAAAACATCTAAAACATGGAAACAACTGAAAACCGATGCTGTGTTCACTGTGGGCTTTTCATAATGTGAATGGAAGAGGAAAACTTTCTTTCCCACTTTGAGAGATGGTCATAGCTTTCTTTAAACAACTTTCTTTTTTCGTTGAGGCCTGTTTTACTAAGTTCAGCATGGATCTTGGGAGGGGGGTGTGAATGGTTATGGGGGTAGTGCTCTGATAAAGAATGTCTTTGTGCTCATTGCCTTTTTCTAACAGGATCACTCTGTGCTTCTTCACAGACCTTTGTAGACATTTCTGAAAATTACCATCTGGCTTCTCTGAGGCAGGCTTGTGTGCTTGTGGCATTTCATTGCTTCAGTTGAGAGGTTCCATGATAACATGTGAACATGTGTACATGTGTTTGTACCCTAGGCTAAAGGGCAAGTTATCTCCTGTAGTTAAATATTGTAGGCTTTGGGTAGTGGACAGAAACTATACCCTTTGAAAGAACTGTGGCGATTAGACTTGGTGCAAAAATTAGTGTGCAAGTAGTTTTCATACATTAGCAAGAACTATGTTGGAATATGGCCGTGTTGCATGTTTCCCAAAAATCTGCCATGATGTGCTACATGCTATAGCAAAGTACCTCAGCTAAAAATCTTACTGTGAAGATCTTATTCTAGTAGTAAAAAAAAAAAAAAAAAAGGCTGCACTTATGTACGTGTTCTGTGTTCACATAGTATATTTCCTTAGGTGTCTCAATTTGTGATTAATGTTCCTAAGCTTAAGAGTAGTGTAACCTGTTCTGTTCTAACAAAAAATGTTCTTTGAAAGATATCCTGATTGTTCTGTTTAGTGATTGCATGGTTTTGTCTGTTATAGGGAGGGGGCCTAAAAGCAACTAAATCATCTAAAGGGAAAAAGAAGAAAGAAAGTCTGGAGGGGAAGGATGGACGGAGGAGGAAAAATGCTTCAGATTCTGGGTGTGATCCTGCAACAAAGAAGCTAAAGGAGAGGGGTGAGGTGGATAGCAATGGTAGTGATGGAGGTGAGGCAAGCAGAGGTCCTTGGAAAGGAGGCTCCAGTAATGAAACAGGACTGGATCCAAGGGCCAAACAGTTGCCTTCGTTCATTCCTCAGATTAATCGTAATATTCGCTTTGCCACTTACACCAAAGAGAATGGCCGAACACTAGTAGTCCAAGATGAGCCGGTTGGTGGTGACGCACCATTGCCCTTTACTCCATTTTCCCCTGTGGCTGGACAAGCATTACTAGTTGGATCTGGATGTAAAGAGGCAGGAAAATCACTGGAACAGGTTGGCCAAGGCACGATGACTTCTGCAACTGCAGTTACTACAACTGCTTTGACACCAACAACTGTGAGAATCTCTGATACCAGTTTGCCAGCTGTTACTGGACAGGAGAAACTGAAAACAGGCCGATCACAAGCCCAGGGAGAGGTAAGTACATGAGACAGCATATTCAAGAAAGACGTGCGTATTTGCAAGAGATGTTCTGCAACATATTCCTGTTACAAAGTGTGTCCGTGGAACTGAGAAAACTACTTTTTCTCTGATGAATCCCTCCCCTCCCAAAGGAAACCTTTCTGTTATCTGATCTAAGAAAGAACTCAAAAGAAAATTAAGGTATTCGGTGAAGGAGTTGTAAGAGACAACTTTTTAGCACTCTTTTCAGTCTTAATCTGAGAAATGCAGCCTTAAAGTCACTTTAGGCACTCCACTTAATTAATTTTATTGCGTCATACAGAAGATAACCTACTTAATATCTCTTGGCTTCATATAAATATGTGTGAGAGTGCACAGAGTTGAACATTTAAGTTATGTAAAAAAAAGCCTCAAAACCAGAAAAACAGTGAGGCTACATTTAGAGGACCTTTTATAGGTACCCAACTTGTCTGTTTACAGCTATGATATCTCCATAGTAGAAAAATGAGCCAGTTACATCTGGGACTAAAAAGAAAGAAATAATTAAAGCATTTGAGATGGATACCTTTAGAATAAATTTTAATAAAGTGCTCACTCTGGAAGCAGCTTGAAGACCTTTTAGTTTTGTCTTCGTTCTCAAGGGGAAAAGCGGAGAAGTAGAGAGGAAAGTCTGTTAAAAAAGAAATAGAAGACATTTTAAGTAATCAAATGAAGGCTTTAAAAACAAAACAAAAGCTTGCTGTGACCAGGAACGGTTTGTTCGCTAGCTGCTAGAGGGCTTGCTTTGTTTAAGTAACTTTGCAAACGAAGTTAATTATTTCAAGGGTGCTGGTTAAATAGGAGGAGGTTATCGGGATGATCTTGGGGGAGGGTGAAAGATGGGAGATTATTGGAAAGCAGTTTCAGTTAAGGTTCCCTTCTTGCTGATTTGAATTAAAACAATCAGCAGTTTAAATAACTTTTCTGTGAATTAGTTCACCTTGTCTTGTGTCTCACTTTTGTTCTAAGGCATGATAAGACATTAAGTGTTCGTTTTCTCCATGTGTCTTTAGTATGTTATGGACACCAATAGCTCATTAGTTTCAATAGCTTGTAGGTGGGAAAAATTAGCCTAGCAGAATCTTCAAAGAAGTTTCTTCATTGTAAATAATTCTGCTGGATGTTTCATTACGGGTGGATAAGTAGATGAACTAAAGTATTGCTGAGTCAAACAAGAATCCTTCCATAGGCTAATGCTTTTTAATCTTGTTTCAGAATTCCCGAAATTCACTTTTGGCTTCTTCTGGATTTGGAGTCTCTCTCTCAAGTGCTTCCCAGTCCTTGGTATTTGGGGGTGGAAGGAGCCAAGCAAATGGAGTGGTGACTCCAGAAAGCAAGCCTTCTGGATTTTCTTTTGGCTGTAGTACTGGACAAGAGGCTCAGAAAGATTCTGATCTGTCCAAGAACTTGTTTTTTCAATGCATGTCCCAGAATCTACCTTCCACTAACTACTTCACGGTCATTTCAGAGAGCTTGACTGAAGATGCCTCTAGTCGGGACTCATTCAAGCAGTGTACGGAGAGTGTAGGTGCTGGGATATGTAAAGGTAAAATTCTTTCAGCGGACACTAAACCAGGAGCCCAGTCTGGCAGTTCTGTGGAGCGGAAACTGCCTGTGGAATCTATGCCTACCCTTACTCCAGCCTTTTCACGAAGTCTGTTGAATACTCGTCCCCCAGATAGTCATGAAAACCTGTTTTTACAGCCCCCAAAGCTATCAAGAGAGGAACCCTCAAACCCATTCCTGGCATTTGCTGAGAAAGCAGAACTTAGTCCTTTCAGTGGCTTTGCATCTTCATCTCAAACAGGGGTTTCCACTCCCTCTACGCCTGTGGGTCATAAGGCCACTTCTGGCTGGCCGGAAACACTCGCCTCTACAGACTCTTCTCTAGCTAAAAAGAAAACCTTGTTTATAACAACTGACTCCTCAAAGATGATCTCCAGTACTCCTGGTGCAACAGTTGCTGCTGGTGTTCAGAGCCCTTCCACTGTAGGGAATGGCCGTTCCAGCTCACCAACCAGCAACCTGACACAGCCTATTGAGATGCCCACACTTTCCTCCAGCCCAACAGAAGAAAAACCAACTGTTGGGCCTGGGCAGCAGGACAATCCTCTTCTGAAAACTTTTTCTAATGTGTTTGGCAGACATCCACCTGGCTTTTTCTCTTCACAGGCAGAGTTTCCACAGGAGAACAAAGCCCCTTTTGAAGCTGTGAAAAGGTTCTCTCTAGATGAGCGGAGCTTGACATCCAAACAGGACTCGGACTCCAGTACCAATAGTGACCTGTCGGATTTGAGTGACTCTGAAGACCAGTTGCAGGCCAAGGCTTGTATGAAGGGAATCCCAGACCACTTGATGGCAAAACTAGGCCCCAATGCAGAGCGCAATGCTGAATTGCTGCTGGGGAAAGGAAAAGGGAAGCAAGCCCCAAAGGGCCGGCCTCGCACAGCTCCCTTAAAAGGTGAATTGAATGCAGGGTGTCTTGGAAGCAGAAGGAGGTGGGATACTGGGATATCTCCGATGTGATGAACTATGTGAACTAACCACAGGTGTAAGCCTCATTTACAGAATCACAGAATTGATTTGGTTGGAAGAGACCTCTGGAATCATCGAGTCCAACCTTTGCCCCAACACCACCATGTCAGCTAGACCATGGCACTAAGTGGCAAGTCCAGTCTTTTAAACACCTCTAGGGATGGTGACTCCACCACCTCCCTCTGGGCAGCCCATTCCAATGCCTAACGACGCTTTCTGTGAAGAAATGCCTCCTCATTTCTAGCCTGAGCTTCCCCTGGTGCAGTTTCAGACTATGCCCTCTTGTCCTGTCACTAGTTGTATGGGAGAAGAGGCTGACTCCCACTTTGCTACAACCTCCTTTCAGGTAATTGTAGAGAACGATAAGGTCTCAGCCTCCTCTTCTGCAGGCTAAACAACCCCACTTCCCTCAGCCGCTCCTAATAAGGCTTACCCTCCAGACCCTTCACCAGCTTTGTTGCCCTTCTCTGGACTCGCTCCAGCACCTCAATGTCTTTCTTGAAGTGTGGGGCCCAGAACTCGAGGTGTGGCCTCACCAGTGCCGAGTACAGGGAGACAATCACTTCCCTAGTCCTACTGGCCATGCTGTTCCTGATAAAAGCCAGGATGCCATTGGCCTTCTTAGGCACCTGGGCACGCTGCTGGCTCATGTTCAACCAGCTGTCAACCAGCACCCCCACCTCTTTTTCCCCTTGACCACTTTATAACCACTCTTCCCCCAGCCTGTAACGCTGCATGGGGTTTTTGTGGCCTAAGTGTAGGACCCAGCACTTGTTGAACCTCATGCTGTTGGTCTCGGCCCATCTATCCAGCCTGTCCACATCCCTCTGGAGAGCCCTCCTACCCTCAAGCAGATCAACACTCCCACCTAACTTGGTGTCATCTGCAAATTTACTGAGGGTGCCCTCAATCCCCCTGTCCAGATCATCTGTAAAGATGTCAAACAGCACCAGCCCCAAAAGTGAGCCCTGGGGAGCACTGCTAGTGACCAGCCACCAACTGGATTTAGCTCCGTTGACCACAACTGTCTGGGCCCGACCATCCAGCCAGTTTTTTACCCATCAGAGAGTCCACCTGTCTAAGCCACGAGCAGCCAATTTATCTAGGAGGATGCTGTTGGAGACCCTGTTGAAGGCCTTATTAAAGTCTAGGTAGACAAC